ACTGTGGGAAGGCAGGGTGATTCATCTTGGATGCGTCTTGGATTAGTCTTAGATCTGAGTGGGTATAACACTTTTGAGAGCCCCAGATGGAAAGGGCCAGAGAGGGGCATGTCAGGTGAATGGGTTTGCTGGAAACGGTAGTCATATTGTAGCCACGATGGTCCAGGAATTATGCAAGAGGCAAGGATTTCACTGCCTAGCTGTGAGAGTGAGGTTTTGAACGCACAACATTCGTCATCGGGGTTCTTATTGGGAATGACATTTGGAAATGCAAAGAATTCAAAACACAGACTGAATCTGCACCCAAAATGCAGCAGTCACCTGAGGCACTTCCATGTGCAGGCAGCTGCATTTCTGCATGCTGCAATTTTTGTGTGGTCAGATGGACAGGCGAAGGAGGGCTTGTGAAGTAAGCATGGGTGCAAACTCAAATGCTTCCAGATTGAATATCTGCCTCTGGAGCTTCAGGCCGTGGGAACCTGCTTCTTTGCAAACCTATCTTTAGAAAGAATTTGAGTTGCATTAGCAGCAATCGGCTCCTGTGGGGATGGCATTTGTAGGGTCTTAGGAAAGTAGGGCTAGAAGGCACCTCACAAGGTCACCTCATCCAGCCCTCTGCTCAGTGCAAGATCCTCTGGAATAAACCATCCCAGCCAAGTGTCTCCAATCTGCTTTTGAAAATGTCCAGGAGAGTCCACAGCTTCCCTAGGTCGCCCGTTGCAGTGCTTGACCACCCTCACAGTCAGAAAGTTTCTCCTACTCCAACCCAAATTTCCTCTGCTGCTGCTTGAGGCCATTGCTCCTAGTCCTGTCCTGTATGGCCACAGAGAAAAGCCCATCTCCATCCTCTATATAATCACTGTGCCTGTATTTGAAGACTTTCAAATCCCCCCTCAGTCTTCTTATCTCCAGACTAAATAACTCTAGTTTCTCCAGCCTTTCCTCATAGGTCTTGTCTCCCAGGCCTCTAATGATTTTTATTGCTCTGTCCTGGACTCTCCAATTTGTCCACAGTCTTCTTGAAGTATGGGGCCCCTCTTCTCAGGAAGAGAAGGGGTTAAGTATATCAGGAGTGGGCAAAGAGAGAGGTCAGTGTGAAATAATCTCTGGACAGAGAGGGGAATAACAGGGAGAAGCTTACACTAGGCATCAATCTCACTCTATGTCCCCAGTTCCTAGGGTCAAACTAGCATGTTCCCTTGATCTTTGCCGCGATGGTTAATATTGGTTAATATTAGTACCGATGAGGTGGTTTTGCTCAAAAGGGAGCTGGACTGTATCTCCTTTGTAAAAGAGTGTGACACCCATAAAATATCCCAGGGGATCCCAAAGGCAGATTGTGGGCCATCAGCATGTCTGTGCACACTGGCTATGCACACCTGAGCACTGAGATTTTGTGGGTAGTGGAAATGCCTGCATTTCTTTAACTGCGTCTCTTTTGAACACACCCTTGACTTCTTATTAGCTTTAAAAATAATTGTTGCTGGAAAGAACAAGGCTTCCAATTTTTTTGTGAAGGGACTCTATAAGTACATCTGAACGGTGTTAGTGGAATGAAACGGCTCTTGTTGCCCCAGGATCCCTTTTACCAGAGACCCCCAAGGATTGACACGGCCCCTCGTCCAATTTGGTATCAAGTGAACTTTATTAGTAACCCCTAGGCTTATTACAAGATAATTATCCTTGCAATACGACCTGGCAAGCGGTTCCTTAGACGTTACAGCAGCGACCTTCGGTGGTACCGGCCTTGGATCCTCTGCTGGGTATGTGGGATCTTAGTTTCTGGATTCCTTGTTGTTCGAACAAGATTCCCAAGGCTGCTCCTGTCTCCCCAGGGTGGCAACACTGTCTCTTTGTTTGTCCACTGCTTTTGCAACTTTCTCATCTCAAGCTGTCCAATCCTGAAGTTCCTTACCTCATCTTTTTAGATAAGGTACTCCAATCCTATTCTGCTTTTGGTTTCCTTTCCTTCTAGGAAAACTACTGTACCTGGTTAGCCCACCGTTCCAATCATAGCACTCACTTTTCCCAGTGCCTTGTAAGGCACTCTGTTCAATTTAATTGCTTCATTCTGGGAAGGCCTAAAGTTATGCTAAGAGCCAGAGCTTAACTCAGTTTGCCCGCTACACTCTAGTCGCACCCTTCTGCCCCTATCTCAGATGTTCAGTACTGGTCAAATCCTACTGCCTTCAGCTTAATTCAGACAGCCTTGGTTTAGAGAAGTCAATGAGACTTTGTACCCAGAATTTTTAATGGTGATTTAAAAAGGAAAGGAGAAAAACATTAACCTATATGATACTTAAAAAAATATTATAATGTAAAATGTTCTGGAATATTTACTTGATCATCGTTTCATAGATGTTAGGGCTGGAAGGGACCCGATCTTTTTAAAACAGATTTGAAGCGTAACTTCTGTATTCTAAATTTCCTAAAAGACTGTGTGGATAGCACTAATATGCCTCTGATATTTGAGTGATAAAATACATTCAATCTGATTTTATCCCACAGCTTCACTTGCCTCCCACCCCAATAATATCAAAATGGCTTAATTTAGAAAGAATGTGATATTTATGTAGGAAACTTGAAAATCTTCCTTAAATCAACTGGTCTTTGTAACTCGAGCAAGGGAGTAGACTAAGATAAGTGATTTTATTTTAATTTAAGAAAGTTTAAACTTAGGGGGAAATATACATATATTTCTTTTTGGGACCATTATTTAACCCCAAACACTTGGCCAAAGACATCCTTTCCTCTTAATATTCAACACCTGACACTTCATTAAGCGTATGAGAGAGGCCTCATAAAACTGGAGTTCACTGACCCCCTTCCCTAGCAATAACAGGGGAGATACAAGTATAGCAAAGTTTCTGCAGCTATAATCCTGCTTCATTCATTCAAGGTTAAATGTACAGCTATTTAGCTCATTTGTATTGCTTTAGGAGCATGCAGAAGTAACAATTGCTACATAACACTTGATGTCAGCTTCTGGGTAGCCACTCTGCCTCTCTTTTGAAGCAGTTGAATGTTACTTCTGTCCAGTGCCCAGAGCTTGCATTTTAAAAATGTAGAAGGGAATTAGAGGATTTTTCAAATGCTTCCAATTGACAAGAGATGTCCTAATGAAAAAGGAGCAAAAACTCTTCAAGGAACTCGAGGACAAGGCGAGAAACTGTATTGCAGAAGCAGCATGCAGTTCATCAGAGCGTGGTTGTTCCACAATCTACTCTGTTTCTAGAGGAAAAAAACAAGTAGATATGGCATTTGGCTGCAACTGTGAACGCTAGACCTGTGGAGGCCAAACTTTTCAGCAGGTGTGCCACAAATTAGCCCACACCCTCCCCAAATGTCACTCTGATGGCCTTCCCCTGCCTGGTCTGCTGCTTTCTGCTCCCAGCCCTGTGCTCCCTGCCTGACCTCCTGTTCTGCTTTCCACTTTGTTCCCTGTGCTCCCTACCCGATTTGCTGCTTTGCTTTCTGTCCTCTACCGTATCCGCCCTTGTGCTTTCTGTCCTCTTCCTAGTCTGCTGCATGCCATGCAGAGACTGCCTGTGCCACAGGTTGGCTACCCTTGTGCTATACTGAGCTCCCAAGTGCAAATTTTGCTTTCTTTTTCTAATTCTTATATCCTGCCTTTAAATTCACTCAGATTTTACTCTACTAACTCCTTAATTCTGAAATTTCCCTGCTGTTGCTCCTGCTCACACCCCAGCCCAGTCCTCCCCCTAAATCCCCAGCTGCCAGTCACCTGTCTTTCTTCCACTGTACCTCTGCCAAGCTACCATGGAGGCTAATTTGTGGCATGCCTGCCAAAAAAGTTCTGGTCCCATTCCTCCCTACCCTGCCCCGTCATAGTGATGCCCTTCAGGTCTGCTGCCTGGATCCATGGCAGAGCTGGCAGATTCAACAGCCTGTTCATTTTGGAGGGATGTAAAAACATACTTCCTTCACTCCTAATTTCTATAATGATCAAACAGCAGTTTAAAAGATTCCCCTCCAAAACTGGATTTTTTTTTTACATCCTATTGAACAGTGGCAATTCCTTGTTCTGGCCAGAAGCAATGTCTGATGAGTCACTTCCCCTCTGGGAGGGCTGGTGAACTCCACTGAGTACCCTGCCCTTGCTTTCCCCTTTTCCTTTTTTCAAATACTCATGCAGCTTTCTGCTTTGTTCTGTTACTGGGGATGAGGAGACAGCGAGAACAATGTCTTAGAGGGTTTAGTCCTGATATGGGAAGCTGTGGCAGTACTCTAATAAAGCGATCAAATATTTTTCTAGTATGGCAGTCCAGCAGAGAATCAGGGTGTGACCTGGACTGAAGTTCTTCCTGAAATCTCCCTCTTTTTTTTCTATTTTTTTGTCTCCTGGCAGCCTGCAGAACCACATCTACTTTTCACTCTAAACCATCCCATCTTCCTGAGGGATGCAGATGGAAACGACACATCTCCTTGAGGTAGGGCGCTGTGGAAGGGTTTGATTTTTGAAAGAGAAATAGCAGGAGATAGATGTGGGCAAGGATGGGAATTTTAACAATCTCACTGTGTTTGTTTCCTGTTCTACAGATCAGGACACATCTGCTCTTTCCGAATTAATCGGGGACTGAAAAATGTATCCCACTACTGCTACCTGGAACCCCAAACCTACTAGTTAGCTAGAGGGTGGACCCCACCAGTAAGACCAGTGAAGAAGTCCCATCTCCCCATATTCATCTGCTAGATATAGTCAGGATGCTGGAATTCCTGTCAGGATACTGTCTGTGATCTGTGGTCAGGGGCTGCATCTCCAGTGTTTGTCCCTTTCTAGTAGCAGTGCTGTAAAGCCTGGAGCCATTTCTGTGAGGATCTCTCCTCTAGCTTGCTCCTGTGGCCATATGGCTGAGGGTGAATGAAACTTGGAGGCATCCAAACCCCAAGCCTCTGGGCTTGGGCCTGCACACAGGATGCTTGCCAAAGGATTTGGAAGTATCTGAAGCTCTGGGCCGGGGTGGAGGATGCTTGCCGGTAGCAGGGCCACATGTGGTTCTTGAATGATTCACATGGATTTGGAATTGATTTGGCTGATTTGACTTGGGACACGAAAAATTTTCCTTTAAAAAAAATAAATCTCTGCTCCTCTACCCCCCAGGGCTTGCAGTTTGTAGGTTCTTCTTTTCCAAAGGGGAGGCCTGTGCTACTCATCAGAGTTTCATAGCCAGTAACAGCAACAGTAGAGTGAGATTTTGATCAGATTCTAGCTTGCTCTCATGAGCAACCCGGGAGTCAAGGTGGATCTGGAATAGCACTGAAATCTGAAGAAGACCCACCCGAAGCAGATCTAGGAAAGCAGACCAGCAACATCAGGGCTTCAATCTGAATAATCCTTATTTTATGGAATGACTGTGAATGGCATTCTTTTTTGTAAGACACTGATTTCTGCAGAAATTTCTCCCCTCATCTGTGCTAGGGAAGTTTGGTGCCAGGACTACTGGAAGTTCTAGTGTATCCAGTGATTTGTTGTCTATTTGCATTGCATTTTAACATCTTCCACGTGAGCTAAGGCAGGCACTGCATAAGCTCATGTCTGCAGTAATCTGTGACCTTTTGCTGGGCCAGTCATCTGAAGGCTGTATATAACAGCAAACCAGCTGATACATAGAGAGGATCAAAATCAGATGGGAATGCAGATGGTGCTGGTGCATCTCCTGCCTCTGAAGTACTGCTCTGAAATTAACTGGATTCACTTCAGGTTTCTGCTGCAGAAAACTGTGAAACTGGAAAAGTCGTGATCACTAATAGAGGTGCCACAGCTATTGACTACTGGGAGGTAATGGGACAGCATCAGATCCCTGTTTGAAATTATCCCATCAGCCAGACTGAGCCTACAGCGATATTCTACCCCCGATGTGCCTGAGCTGGAGGGATTATGGTCTTGGCAGCAGGTCTTGAGAGTGGAAGTGTTGTTGTTTCAGGGGCTGGTGACTTTTGAGGAGGTGGCCGTGTATTTCACCAAGGATCAGTGGGCTCTGCTGGACCCTGATCAGAGAGCCCTCTACAGGGATGTCATGCTGGAGAACTATGAAACTGTAGCCTCACTGGGTAAGAGATCCCTGCTCTTCTGTGATGTCAAAAGTTAGAGAGCTTTTGAAGAACCAGGGACAGCTTCTGCTGGGGATTTTGCTCTGGCCTGTCCAGGGGGATCAGCTTCATGGTCTCCAGAGCCATCCCCTTTGTACTGCTTCCATGGGAGTCGGAATGAAACATATTCATTTGCTCCCATCCCATCCTTCTCTCCCAGCTGAGACAGGGTTGTTCTCCATGGTGCATTTCTTGTGACCTGTGCAATTCTAATTTTAAGTACTTCATGTAGTGGGGCTCTTGCTGTTTGCCCCGGGGAGATGATTCCTTCTCCTCATACAGATGACTGCCAAGGGATTTCCCCCCTTTTCTCTCTCTTGACTAATCTTTCGAACTCTCCGTGTTTCTCTCATGGAGATGAGCTTTATAAAGTAAGTCAGTATCTCCACAGTTAGAGCCTTCATTAGTAAAACCCATGCAGTGGGTTGGTCTGAATGACCCCCTACCCTTCCAGTTTCTTCCATCTCCACACTTGCCAGCACAGCTGTGCTTAGTTATGTTTTCCACTGTGAGAAAAACTGTGCGTTTGAGCAGCTAGAAAGAAGGCTAGAGATTACAAGGACCAAAACAAATGTTTGTTACTCAAATGTGTAACTCATTCTCATCTGGTGAATTGTCTCTCCCTGGAGCAGGATTCCTGACGTCCAAACCTGATGTGGTCTCTCAGCTGGAGGAAGGGGATGCACCATGGGTCCCTGATTGCCAGGAGTGTGAGGAAAGGAGAAGTCTAAGACATACTTCTGCAGGTGAGGAGTGGGGGAAATTGATTTGTACACCATCCATCAGTGAAGGGGTGTCTGGGATTCCCACAAGGCCTCTCTGCACTTCCTTAGTTCTGCCTCATTTTGTGCAGGCAAGGACTGTGTCCAGCATGACAGAGATCCCACCCAGCCTGACAGACCCCTGGGAGCAGCATCTCTCCTCTTAGAATTTGTACTGGACGTTGAGGCCAAAGCGGTTCTGTTCTCCTCTCGCTCCTCTGGGGAAGGAGTTAGAGCAGGGTTCAGC